GCGTCTCCAGCAGGTCGAGGGAGGTGATCCTGCCCCTCTACTCAGCCCTGGTGAGGCCGCATCTGGAATATTGTGTCCATTTCTGTGCCCCACAGTACAAGAGGGATGTGGAGCTGCTGGAGAGAGTCCAGCGCAGGGCTACAAGGATGATCAGGGACCTGGAACATCTGCCCTTTGAGGAGAGGCTGAGGGACCTGGGCCTGTTCAGCCTGGAGAAGAGAGGGCTGAGAGGACACCTGATCAGTGTCTATAAGTACCTCAAGGGAGGCAGTGAGGAGGATGGTGCTGGCCTCTTTTCACTGGTGGCCACCAACAGAACTAGAGGAAATGGCCAGAAACTGAAGCATCAAAGGTTCCAGAGGAACTTATGGAAAAATTTCTTAACAGTGAGGGTGACAGAGCACTGGAACAGGCTGCCCAGAGAGGTTGTGGAGTCCCCTTCTCTGGAGATCTTCAAGACCCACTTGGGCACAGTCCTGTGCCACGTGCTCTAGGTGCCCCTGCGTGTGCAGGGGGGTTGGACTAGATGACCTCTAGAGGTCCCGTCCAACCTTAAGCATTCTATGGTTCTAAGAAGCCCAAAGTTTGAAAGAAGTATGTTTGACACACAGGAGGATATTGGAGGACTTAGCAGCCTACAGATTGATGACATTTTATCATCAGACTGTGTTGCTGCAGATTATATTGAATAGAAAAAGCATTTTGTCTAACTTCTTCTGAGAGATACTTAGGATCTCCTGTTAACTTCAGGCATGTTAACACGTTATCTTGAGCTTGCCCTTTTAAAAGTTTCCATTTCCACTTGCTTTATTAATAAAATAACTGGAAAGATCCCAGTGCTAACAAATTCTATGACATATATTGAATTTTGGTATGAAAGGTCATCTTAACCAATAGCTTCATGTTTTTAACATTAATATATGACAAAATTGCATTGGTGGCTTGATATATTTAAATATGACATTAGTGCCTGTTATTTTTGTCTTGAATCACACTACAAAGTTTTGAAGCATATCACTAGATCTCAGGTTCAGAAATGAAAGTGAAATACTTAGATGCACACAAATGCTTGCATGTTAAGGTGGGAACCTTTCTACTTTAAAGATTTTTTAAGGACCTCTTTTTAAGGACCTCTCCTCTGTTCAGGAGAAAGTATTGAATTTTAGAGTCTGGATTTGCTGACTGACTTTCAGCGTTCCTTTTGTAATTTCTTCATTATCTCTTTGAGGACTTCTGTATAATTTGTGATCTGTAGAGTTCAAATTTTGAAGCAGACTATCAGTATTGTTTGAATAAGGCCTTGTCGTGCTATCAAGCAGAGTATGATGAAAGGTTGATATATACTGTTGTAATTTAAAGCTTTAGTTCAGCAAATCAAAAGGGAAATTATTGTTTTGATTTTGTTGAGATGTAGATCCATACATCTTGGTTATTTAAAGGTTATCTAAATATGTGTGTATGCATACTGTGTGTATGTGTTTGTGGCATCAGTGCTTGCTTAAAAGGGGCTTAAGGAAGTGAGACTTAATGGCAAAAGAATTCCTGTGGCAGGTCCTCTGCTGTGAGGCAAATTACACATTGGGTGCAGAAGTGTTAGATAACTGCTTTTTATTCTTAACAAAAAATGCTCTTATACATTTGTTTATTTCTACCCTTCCTGCTCATCTAAAGGTTATATCGGCATGCCATGTTTTTAACATCTTTTGAACAGGTGTTAAAGACAAAACCACAGCTATACTATTTTTTTATTTACCTTAATACTTTTAAACATGTGAAGGAGTAATCATGAGCACTCTATTATACTCTATTGTATGTTGTGCAGGCCTCTTTATGCTTAGACATGAAAAAATGCAAATAATATTCCAGTTACAGGAAAACTTGTGGTGGCTAGTATTTCTGTTAAGTAAGCACAGCGAATTCCACTCTGTGTGTTTGTGTGTATTAATATATACTCATACACATATGTATGCATTCTCATATATACATACATGTATACAGAGTGAATGAGAGAATAT